GACAGGTTTTGTCCTGTAAATGCTATTAGAAGCATAGGGCCAGGCGACGGCTGGCATAGCGGCTGTCATCCCAGCACTCTGGGAGGAGGCCGAGGCGGGAGGATCGCTCGAGGTCAGGAGTTCGAGACCAGCCTGAGCAAGAGCGAGACCCCCGTCTCTACTAAAAATAGAAAGAAATTAACTGGGCAACTAAAGATATATATATAGAAAATATTAGCCGGGCATGGTGGCGCATGCCTGTAGTCCCAGCTCCTCGGGAGGCTGAGGCAGGAGGATCGCTGGAGCTTGGGAGTCTGAGTTTGCTGTGAGCGAGGCTGATGCCACGGCACTCACTCTAGCCTGGGCAACAGAGTGAGACTCTGTCTCAAAAAAAACCCAGACAGGTCTTTAGTTAACACAGCTGCAGGATTTTATTCTAAAGTCGGGCAGAAACATTTATTTTTAAGGCTGCTATGCTTTTTGTTCTCGGCAAAATAGGTTTTGTCTGTAACCTATTAGAAGCATAGACCAGGCGCGGTGGCTCACGCCTGTCATCCCAGCACTCTGGGAGGCCGAGGTGGGAGGATCGCTCGAGGTCAGGAGTTCGAGGACAGCCTGAGCAAGAGCGAGACCCCCGTCTCTACTAAAAATAGAAAGAAATTAATTGGCCAACTAAAAATATATATATATATAAAAATTAGCCGGGCGTGGTGGCGCATGCCTGTAGTCCCAGCTACTCAGGAGGAGGCTGAGGCAGGAGGATCGCTTGAGCCCAGGAGTCTGAGGTTGCTGTGAGTGAGGCTGACGCCACGGCACTCACTCTAGCCCGGGCGACAGAGCGAGACTCTGCCTCAAAAAAAAAAAAAAAAAATTATGTCTTTAGCTAACACAGAGCTGCAGGGTCTTATTCTACAGTCTGGCAGGAACATTTATTTTTAAGGCCGCCGTGCCTTTTGGTTCTCGGGAACACAGGGTTCCTCTGTGACCTTTCAGAGGCAGGAAGTAGGCGTGTGGGGGCCGGGGTCTCTGAGGCCGTCTCCCGTCCCGGGTTGACCCCTTTGCCCTTGGGTGTGGAGCCTGACCTGGGCCCGCTGAGCATGGGGAAAAAATAGGCGAGGGAGTGCAAAGGGCGGGTTCACGGCCAGTCTCTTTTCTCGCAGAGGACGTGAACTTGGGCCGGGTCCGCTACGTGCTGCTCGGGGACAAAGTGGGGGAGACGGCGGACAGCTTCCAGTTCCTGGTGAGGGACGGCGAGCCCCACGTGGTCGGCGGGAACACCTTCCACGTCCGGTGGTCGCTCCTGAGCTTCCAGCACGCCAGGTACCGCGCGGCCCTTCCTCATTCCCTCTGTCTCCTGGTTGTTTTGTGTTTTTATTTCATTTTATTTTTAAACCAGGCTAAATAGGGTTATAGCTGCACATTGTTTTGGGTTTTTTTTTTTTTTTTTTTTGGACGCAGAGTCTCGCTCTGTCGCCCGGGGCTAGAGTGAGTGCCGTGGCGTCAGCCTCGCTCACGGCAACCTCCTACACTCCTGGGCTCAAGCGATCCTCCTGCCTCAGCCTCCTCCCGAGTAGCTGGGACTGCAGGCATGCGCCACCACGCCCGGCTAATTTTTTCTGTATATTTTTAGTTGGCCAATTCATTTCTTTTTATTTTTAGTAGAGACGGGGTCTTGCTCTTGCTCAGGCTGGTTTCAAACTCCTGAGCTGAAGCGATCCTCCAGCCTCAGCCTCCCGAGTAGCTGGGACTACAGGCGTGAGCCACCATGCCCGGCTAATTTTTTATATGTATATGTTTTTAGTTTGCCCAGCTAATTTCTTTCTGTTTTTAGTAGAGACAAGGGTCTTGCTCTTGCTCAGGCTGGTGTCGAACTTGTGAGCTCAAGCGATCCTCCAGCCTCAGCCTCCTCCCGAGTAGCTGGGCCTACAGGCATGCGCCACCACGCCCGGCTCATTTTTTTTTGTGTATATATATATTAGCTGGCCAATTAATTTCTTTCTATTTATAGTAGAGACGGGGTCTCGCTCTTGCTCAGGCTGGTCTCGAACTCCTGACCTCGAGCGATCCTCCCGCCTCGGCCTCCCAGAGTGCTGGGATGACAGGCGTGAGCCACCGCGCCGGCCTGGCGCTGAGCCAGGCCGAGCGGAACTTCCTCCTCTCTGAGCCGCGGGTGCCGGTTGCCGAGGAGAGGAGCCAGGCGCAGTCGGGTCTCCGCAGCCCGGCGGGCTCAGGTGTCGCCTCTCTGTGTCTAGTTACAGCGTGAGCGAGAGGGGCGGCTCTGTCAGCCTCACCGTGCAGAGGACGGGGCACCTGGGCCAGTACGCCATCGTGCAGTGCCGCACCGCACCCGGCAACGCCACCGCCAGCACCGCGGGCAGCTCCCAGCCGGGCCGGCAGGACTACGTGGAGCACGCCGGACAGGTGTGTGGAGGGGGGCACGCAGGACAGGTGTGTGGAGGGGGGCACGCAGGACAGGTGTGTGGAGGGGGCATGCAGGCCAGGTGTGTGGAGGGGGGCACGCAGGCCAGGTGTGTGGAGGGAGGCACGCCGGCCAGGTGTGTGGAGGGGGGCATGCAGGCCAGGTGTGTGGAGGGGGGCATGCCGGACAGGTGTGTGGAGGGGGGCATGCCGGACAGGTGTGTGGAGGGGGGCACG